TCTATCTATCTATCTATCTATCTATCTATCTATCTATCTATCTACGTATCTCTCTCTCTCTCTCTCTCTCTCTTTCTGTCTGTCTGTCTGTCTGTCTGTCTAGCTAGCTATTTCATTAGATTTATACCCCACCCATCTAGACAAAAGGTCTACTCTGGGTGGCATTTCTACTTTCCGCATCTCTGCTCATCTGTAATTGTCGAAGAAATTCCATCCAGTTTTTAGGAAAGAACGATACAGCAGAGTATCTATTTAAGACTATTTGGGAGTCTTTGCCATAAGGAGCACAGCAAGACGCTTTTAACTGTGTCTAGGGAATACATTTCAAGCTAGACCATGTACAGATATGTAAACCAATACCTGCCACCTTATCACATTCTCCATGTATCTCTGGATGAGTACAAAGCTATGTTTGATGTTGCTTCCATTTACGGACTTCCTTTGCTCAGCGGCTTTTGAAGTATGTCATACTTATATCCTTCCACCGCCTTCTAAAAGAGTTGTCCTCCTCTTAGTGCCATCAGAATAACAATGGGCAACGTCTCCATGCAGCTGAAGGGATGCAGCAATGCTAAACTGCTCTCGGTAGACGGGGCTGAAAAGAATACTTAATTAATTTCTAATAATAATCCTCTGTTTTAAAATCCCCAGCGGGGGTTCTCAGGCAAAGCTGAAAGTTTAAATAAAGTCCCTTATTAAGTACGGGTGGGGGGGAAGGCAAGTCAACCATGACAGATCTTGCTGGAGAGCTTACTTCTGTTTAAATAAGATTCAAGGCAATTTTGGGTGGCTTGGAAGAAAATGACAAATTAGAAAGAGATGAAACAGTCAAAATTTAAAGGCAAGTGCAAGGTCACTATAAGGGCATTCTGTTAAGGCTCAAACTCTGGCAGAGAGTCACTGCTATCTTTAATAGAGACTTGTGGCTTCAGTGAATCCACTCTGGATTTTAGCCTGAACATTTTAAGATTTAGCCAAGATGCTGAACTCTATCCCCAAGTACGTTCAGTACCATGGACAGCTGCTGTAAACAACAGACTAAAATGTGGAATGATGGCCGTTTTCCATGCTGTTGCCGGTTGTTAACATGCCTGCACCAAGTGTATTAGTTGACACTCTTGCAAAGTTTTGAATTACCTCTAGCTGTGCAGCACAAGTGCAGGAATTCATAAATCAAAATAGCTTCAGGTACTCATTCACTAGCACTTACACTCTCAATAACTCCCTCAGGAGAAAAAATAAAAACCGTTTCTCTACCTACAGTTGTAAACCGATCAACAGCAAAACTGACAAGCAGGACTGCTTTCAGCAACGGATGTCAACAGGCTCAAAAGAGGGAAAGAGATTCTCAGCAGAGAGGCGGGCTTGTCTTTGAAATCAGAGATGGGAGGGAGTGATTGGTTAAGGCTGTTAGGGATTGACTGTCACCCGAGCCCAGAAAAGTCTCTGCCAGCCACGCCTTCTCCAGGCAGCATACAAGGTTGTAAAAATGTCAACAGAAAAACAATAGAAATAGAAGGAGTTTCTACTTACTTCTATCCCAGTGGTCAGTGGTGGAGAATGAGCCCAGTTGACAAGGAAACAAATAGCTATTTATTAAAAAACATTACCTATTAAATGTTTGGCAGGGTCATTATTTTCCCCTCCTGGTATTAACACCCCTCACAAACTCCCTTTGAATCCCCAGTGTGGTGTCATAGGCACAAG